TGCATCTGATGGGAACAATTGCTTACAATAGTGCTATTATCAGGCATCTCCTTGACACAGATCATGAGGTGGACGTCGCAAGATTCTTCAAAATTATCAGTGGGTGAAAGAGTCCGATTCTCCCCAAGTTTACGAAAGCAATTTCCAATAAGCACCTGAAACCCGATTTATGTGTGTTCTGAAAGAAGCGATTATCAGCCTTTCTTGCCCTTGTAACCGGATGTTTTCATTCTTTCTTTCATTTGATGGCGTCATGCTGAAAATTCCATTCTGTATGGTTATTATTGATAAGAATAAAGAGATTATTATTATTATTATTATTATTATTAGAATTGTATGCACACATTGATCTATTTCGTTTAAATCTCAACTCTCTGAACAAGTGTGTTAAAACTGTTTCTGTATATTAACTTAAAAATGTCTTTGCGCTAAAGAAATAAACAATGATGGTATCATTTTATTCTGCGCAAGCAATTATTGTTTTTGCTTTATTTAAAGTTTTGTTGTACTTTGTTTCTTCATACATTTATTCCCCTTTATGTGAATTTGAATAAAGCAAGAACAACAGTGGTGGTTTGTGCAGAATAATATGCCACCATCATTGTTCATTTCGTTGGCTTCTCATCAGCTGCTTACAGTCTAGAGAAATTATTACTATTAAGTTCATGTACAGAGGAGTTTTAACATCGTTGCAAATTTTACATGATGTCAGTTGATAGGAAGTTCCGAACTTGGTGAACAGTACTCTGAAAATTACGCTTAAATAGTTTTTACACAGGGAGTTCAAGTTTAAACAAAGTAAATGTATGGATACAATGGTAGAGAAGTTGCGTAACAAAGACGAGAGATGCATTAAATGATGAGTAACTAATACATTGGGTGAAAAACGCTTGAATTCCCATTTATGTGTGTTCCGAAAGAAGCAGTTGTCAGGCTTTCCTTCTCCATCCTGGTGACTTGATGTCTTTATTCTGTCTTTCATATTTGATTACATTATCTGTAATTTTAACCTCTTCCCCCTTTGATATAGTGATATAGTGATTTGAGTTGAACTTAATGTAATGGATCATCATTGAACAAAGCCTCGAATGGCAGTCACCTCTCTATCTCAACTTCATCGACTTTGAAAAGGCCTTCAACAGACAGCGTCGATCGAGAGGTGATTTGGAAACTACTTCGCTACTACGGGATGCCACCGACAATTATACATCTCATTCAACAGCTGTACGGCAATGCTGCATGCCAAGTAATCCACAACGGGAAACTTACGGAACCCTTCGAAGTGGGGACAGGAGTAAGACAAGCTGGCTGCCTACTATCGCCAATGATTTTACTGATTGCAGTAGACTGGATAATGCAACAAACAGTGGGCAATGAGGAAACAGGCATATAATAGACCCACACAAAAAACTTGGAGGATTTGGACTTCGCCGATGATATATGTCTGATTTCCCACAAACTGGAAGATATGCAAGCGAAAAGTAACAAGTTAGCTGAAGAAGCATCAAAGATAGGACTTCAGGTGAACATAGATAAAACAGAGGTGATGAAGATTCCTGGGCAACACCACCAACAGCAACAACAACAACTGACAACAATCAGCATAAATCGGAGGAACAACCTCCTTTACCCACCGACCTGGAAAGCATCGTTTCAACTACAGGTCGGCGGAACTGATGGGGATATCAAAGCAAGAATCGGAAAAGCAAGACAAGCTTTCACTACTCTCAAGTCTGTGTGGAGGTCAACAGCACTACTCAGCATCAAAAACAAGATCCGAATTTTCAACTCCAATGTGAAATCAGTGCTACTATACGGATCAGAGACTTGCACTGCGCGTCATAAAGAGCATCTCAAACAAACTACAGACCTTCATTAACAGTTGTCTTCGCTCAATACTCAAGATCAGATGGCCAGCCAGAAAAGATCAGCAACAAAGATCTCTGGGAGCGAACCAACACAGCAGGAACCGATTATGAAACAAATAGGCAGGAAGAAATGGAGATGGATTGGCTGGCCATACTCTGAGGAAACCATCAAGTGACATCACTAGACAAGCCATTGCTCGAGTGGAACCCGGCCGAAAGGGAAGCGGTGAGTTGGTCGTCAGTGCAAGGGTGACTTGGAGGAGGTCATGTGAAAAGGAGATGAAAACGTGTGGGCAGACATGGAGCCAGGTGAAGACTCTAGCAGAGAACAGAACGCAATGGAGACGCACTGTTGAAGCCCTATGTTCCTGTAGGAATTAAAGGATACAATAATAATAATAATAATGTATTGCTGCCGAACGTATTAGTTGCTTATCATCTTACGCACCTCCCGTCCTTGTTACGTAACTCGTTTACCATTGTATGCATACATTTTTTTATTGCTTCGCGTTCACAGTGGAACATAAGGCTCCAAGCTAGCGGCTTGAAGTTTCTGTAGAAGTGTTTATTTTTACAGGATGGGGTTGCTAGCCTCATGTCCAAGCCTTCCTCTTCACCAGCTTTAGTTCTGGCTCAGCGAGGTAAAGGAGTGCGCCGGCCGGGGATCGAACCCCGGACCATGTGCATGGTCGGCGAGCGTCCTAACCGCTATGCCACCGACGCACGATGCAAACATTTACTTTGTTTAAACTTGAACTTCCTGTGTAAAACTATTTAAGCGTAATTTTCAGAGTACTGTTCACCAAGTTCGGAACTTCCTATCAACTGACAGACATCATGTAAAATTTGCCAGTATGTTAAAACTCCTCTGTACATGAACTTAACAATAATAATAATTTATTTAGGCTGTGAGCAGGAGCTGATGAGAATCCAACGAAATGAACAATGATGGTGGCATATTATTCTACACAAGCCGCCACTGTTGTTCTTGCTTTATTCATATACTTTGTTTGATTGGAGATAAAATGAGGGAAATCAATTAAGAATAATCTCTGTATACAGATGAATCGAAACGTTAAGTTAGTAAAATAAAGAATTTCTCATGTTTTTATATATATACGTAGTCTGATCAGAGTTTCTCGAAAAAAAGAAACACGAAAATTGGGCAGTAAGAGTAGCAAGCAACAAGATATTGAGATACATAAATCCGAAGATATTTCGAAGGAATTGAGAAGTTCTAAGGGCTGACTGACTGGATTAGTTTCAACAAAGAACTTTGCACAGATGTGCAGCAGTTCAAGTCGCCACACTTCACTCAACACACAAAGCAAGAGAAGAAACTAAAGAGAAGTGTAAAAGAGAGACATTTAACAGAGATTTGAGACAAAAAGAATAGTAATATCGAAGAACAATATAGTTTTATTGGATATTATAAGTCACAAGGAATGGATGCATCTGCGTCAGTTATTGAAAACGATTTTGAGCCATATCACCGATAATTGTCTCCAGCGATTGGTGTTTACTGTCAGTCAGTCAGACCGTTCCGAGGACCCCAATCAAGAAGTCTACACCTTCTTACGTAGCTGGCTTAAACTAACTATCGAACATTTCATAGCCTGATATTATGTCTTGGTTTGACCACCACTGGCTCTTTTCCAACCTGACCCTATGTCAGCTAACATCGGGCGTCAAGGAAGGCGATGACTAGGTATACGTAACACATGTCTTAACCATCTCAGTCGATGTAGATTCACAGCCTCGTCGATTGATTTTCCCCTCCTTACCTACCACTCGACGCCTAACCTCAATATTGCTCACCTTATTATACCACTTCACACGGGAGATAGAACACAGACACTTATGATCAAAGAAAGCTAGCCTTCTCATGTCTTCCACTCTTAATGGCCAAGTCTCACAGCCATAAAGGAGGACGGAGTGGACTCCTGAGCAGTAGGCACGCCCTTTGGTTGATAGTCAACCGGATATCACGTCTACGCCAGAGACGGCGTAAACTGGCACATGTGCAACAAGCCTTCTGTATCCGTACTGAGATTTCGTCAATGATCAACCCGCTGTTGGCTGATGCAACTTCCCAAATAAGTGAAGTTCTCTACCATTTCACTCCCTATTTCGAAGCTAGGAGTCAATGTAGTCCAATCCTGCAGCATCATCTTACATTTTATGGGAGCGACTCGCATGCCAAACATTCAAACATTGCAGCTAAAGGTGTTCTGAAGACTCTGAATTTTGTCAGCGTCTTCACCGGGGTTGGAGGACTATATCATCTGCATATTCTAAGTCAACCAGACTATTATTCCCTAGTAGTAACACGTCAATCCCTGAGTCGCTGAAATCACTTAGGGTTGAGTCCATAAGTACATGTATGATGAAACTGAATAGAAATGGGGATAGTGGGCATCCCTGATGGACACCACTAGTTGTCAGATAACAACTCTCCGTGGGCTCTGACCTGGCTGGCTGCATGAGTTCGAGTAGAGTGTCTTGATTAGTTCCATGTATTTTCTCGACATTCCCTTCACAGCCAAACATAGCCATAGTACTTCTCGGTCGACAGAATCGAATGCCGCCTTTAGGTCAAGAAATATAACGATTGTTGGACACCAATGACAAGCATGCTTATATTCTAGTGTCTGTCGGAGGGTGAAGTTATGATTAATAAACCCTCTTCCTGGTCTAAAGCCTTTCTGGTTCTCTCGTGTTTGTGCCTCCCGAGCACCGCTTAGTCTACGCATGATTATTGAGCCTAGCTATTATATTAGTCAAGCTAATCCCCCTGTGATTACCACAGGACGATTTGTATACCTTCTTGTATATCAAGACAATCAATGACTTGTACCAGCCCGATGGGACTTCCCCTGATTCCTAGACGCTGTCTAGTACCTTAGTTAATGCAGACAATAAACTGTCTCCACCGTACTTAAATACCTCTGGAGTCATTCCACCAGGTCCTGATGGTTTGCCTCGTTTCAGACTAGTGACATCCTTAGTAACCTCAGTTAGGGACGGATACAAAATGGTAGAACTATGAGAAATTCTAATTTATTATGTAAATTTTATGTAAACAAAATAATCAAAATAAAGCTCAAAAATTTATTCATCATTACAACTTACCGAATCAATTGTTCGGAATTTTTACGTGATATTGATGCACTTGAAGTCTCTATAAGTAAAAATAAAAGTAAAGTTTAAAAACTATTGGACACTGTACAGAATATTTCACAGTAAATCAAACCAACACCTCTGTGTACTCATCATGAAGTTTGAAATTTTTTGACCAACCCAATTCACTATGTACATATTCAAAAGATCTGGCTAATGGAGCTGAAAAATCAAAACACTTTGTCCCTTTTTTTAGTGCATTCAGAGGAAGTGACTTGCGAGATGAATTCATTTAGTGATTCGCAGTCTGTCTTATGGAAGAGCTTAATATTATTAAACAGTTGCTGAGTGAGAACGGTTACTCAGAAAAATTCATTCATAAGAATATGAGAATCAAAATTCAAGGCAAGCCAGAGTATTAACAGACCCGAAAAAGGAAGGCCTTGATCTTACAACTTCAGTTCCTAGGGATAATATCGGGATATATTAACACAACACCTAAGGTATAAGGCGGTGACAAGAGTATTCAATGCTGCTGAATTATGCCATCTCTTCAAAACCACCCCAATTTCGCGTTCAGGAGTTAAAGCCAAACTACCTACTTTCGCCTCTTCTATGTGTATCTATCAATTTGATTGCTCCTGTGCTCTTGTGGAGTGAGCCAGTCACTTGCATATGCCATACGATTAGGCGTGTTTATCATCAGATTTCTGAACACTATCCTGCAAAGTGGTTTAGTAAGGGAGAAACAAAGTCCATTCATATTTCTTTACTATCTCATCCCGTAGACAGAGAACACAAAATTGATGTAAACAAAGCGACTTTCAAAGTCACTTACCGTATGTCAACTAATCTTAATTCTACCTCAAGAGTAGGTCTATTAAACATATTGCTGAGGCTGTTGGAATCTACATAAGAACCTAACTTATGCATGTACGGATGGTTCAAATGCTTTCCTTACTTACCTCGTTGATCAAGGTTTCGATGATCCTTAATTTGTTGTAGAGATTTCCTTAATTTTATTTGATATTTTATTTACTGTTACATTTTTGTGTCTATTATAATAACTTGTGCATCTTCCTTGTCCTATAATTCCAAGAATCCTACTTAGCAAGACAATATTATTTTAGAGAACACACGAATATTGTTAATCACGATTATTCCAGATTATTCTATATATATATATATATATATATATATATATAACTGTGGAGCCGGTTAAGGGAGTTATTGAAAAGGTTATTCTCTTGAAATAACAGAAAAGATTTGTAGTTCAGGTGGATGATTTGCAATTAATAGTGTTCTCTGAGCTGGTTGGTTTAGTTGCGGAGCTATCGTCTTCCTTTAGCATAAATATTGCGCTGAAGATGTTGTACAGAAGGACGACGAAAGCTCCGCAACTAAACCAACCAGCTCAGAGAACACTATTAATTGCAAAGGATATTCTCTGCTCAATTTTTTTTTCAATTGATATTGATACAGAATGAAAATGTATTATGCAATATCTCATGACGTGCATACTACTGAATAAATATTAGTAGTTAGAAGACAGTCATGTCAAATAAGTGTGTTTGGTAACCAGATCAAAATAACTTAAAAAGACACTAGACAGTTTTTTTATGGCGTGTGCTACTGATAACATATATCAGTAGTATATAAAGACACGTTCATTGGAATAAATTTACCAGATAGCAGAGGGAGAGGTTTGACGCCAAAGTGATGCGGAGAAACATGAGACGTGAAAAGAACACAAAGAAACACTATATGAAGGACAGAAGTAGTCCAACATGAAAGATCTGTGCAGACGGTGCGTTGAAAGATAAGATGTACATAATTCCGCTATATAGCGAAACCAATTTCCAAATAAACATTCCTTTACTATATTTCTTGTTTTCTACCTTTAAAGTCATAATTATTTAGATTCGAACTCTCCAACTATGTTTCCAGACAAACACAGATCAGAAAGGTGGATTAATCTAGACTACCTAAATCCTATTTACTTTAATTTTATATTTTCCCGTCTATTGACTGGACCAAAGTGGTTGGTCTCAGGCTGACATGCCCGCTTCTTTTGCAGATGCTTCGACGATATTCGGTCATGAAACTTGAAGTCAATTGGTGAATAGCGACTAGCAGTGGAATCCAGGACACGCATTTCGTCCTATTTGGGACTCTTCAGATAGGTGTACCTGCATCTCCCATTGAGTGATGGTGTTCCCACCGAGGCTCGAACCTAGTGACCGCAGTTTCAAAAGTCAAAGCGTTATCCACTAGAACACTTGGGCCAAGAGGATAACGCTTTGGCGTTTGGAACTGTGGGCAATGGGTTCGAGAGTCGGTGGGAACACCATCACTCAATGGGAAATACAGGGACACCCATCTGAAGAGTCCCAAATAGGACGAAATGCGTCTCCTGGATTCCACTGATAGTCACCATTGACCTAAATCCTAGCTAACTGCTTTAATTAACTTGTAATATATGGAATTGTAAATCACACAGTTCAAGCTGCAAAAAACTCATCACACTTCCCCTTATTAATCTGAAATATTAAGATCAAAATATCTAACCCATCCGATACCATTAAACGACAATCATGAAGGGGAGTACACACCTGATGAGCCGAGCAGTTCATCGTTTAGAACATATTGATTTTTGTCTAGCAAACACTATCAGGTGAAATGAGTGTTTTCCAACTAACTACTTATGTCACTCAGTAATACATACAGTTATGCTATTTCGTTTGCTCTCTTGAATACTATTTTTACAGTACTAAGAAAACCAGAGTATTTTAGGCTTCCAAAGGGGGAAATATGGTGAATCTATTTCAACTCAAACTGTGCATTTTTGGCAAAAGGGCAAACTCAGTTAGAAAACACTACATGATCGTACAACCGACCATGGAAAGCGAGAGAAGATGAGCAATCGATTTGACCGACAACAAGACTCTAGAAGACGAACTGAAGTCTACTATCTGTTTCAATTCTCAAGTGTTCAAATTTCTTTTTGATTCCTGTTCAAGTTTAGGTTAGTATCGTTTCACTTATAGGCAACACAGATGAGAAGATTTCAAAGGTATAGTCGGAAAAGCAAAACATACCTTCATTACTCTGACATCAGTGGAGATATCTACAGAACTTAGCACAAGAAACAAAAAGAAAAGATTCGAATTTTCAGCATTAATGTCAAGTCTGGGCTTCTATATAGGTCAGAGACTTGAAGCGTCACACCTAGAGCATTTCTACAACAGTCTACTGTAGACTGCATCACTAACAGATGCCTCAAGATCAGATAGTCAGCTAGAAGGGATTAGGAACAAGGAAGGATGACAACGAACCACCGAAGAACCTATCGCCCAATAAATATGAAGAAGGAAGTGAAGATGGGTTGGACACACAAGGAAGAGACAGCTGAGTGGCATCACCCACAACATTCTCTCAAGCGGAATACGAACGAGAAACGAGTATATCAGTCTCTGAGGCTAAAATAGAGGAGATCCTTTAAGCAGGAAGTGACAGCCTAAGCACAACCGTTAAGTCAGCTATACAGAACAACAGAGAACAGAAAGAAGTGGCGATGATCCACTCGGAACCCAAGGGGATAATAATGATACTTTATATAAATATATAAATATTTTTAAGTTGAAATAGTATACTGACAATTAATCGTTATAGTGGACCAAACGTTTTCAGAGAAAACAGTTAGAGATGAACAAGAAAATCGATAAAAAACGTTTCAAAAAAGTAGATTAATTCAAGCTGTCATGATAAGAAAGAATATATACAAACAAAAACACGATGAAAATAGAAATAGGATAAAATCAATTTCAATGATAAATCCAACATTTTACAAACAACAATGCAATTTACAATGACTATGATTTCTTTAAACTGTTTACTTTACTTGACGTCAACTGGCGGATAGAAACTAGCACTGGAATTCACCAGGACGCACATTTCCTCTCATTTAGGATTCGCCATCTGAGTGTACCCGCATTCCCCAGTTAGTGATGGGGCTTGAATCCAATGGCCCTAGTTTCAAACGCCAAAGCGTTATCCACTAAACCACTTGAACTACCCCTTTGGCAACGGGTTTTATTAATTAATACTGAACTAAACAGAACAGACCGCTTGGCCACTCCATCGACCGTCCGATACACTCCACCTTGTATGTGGTATGGCCGACCATATATATATGGTCCGGGATTCAATCTCCCGCTGGCTCACACATTTACCTGCCCTAGCTGATTATAAGCCCGCTTACAAAAGGGGAAGATTGGGCGTGAGGCTAGGAAACCCACCCCATAAAAGAAACACCACTGCTACTGAACCATCAAAGTTCATGCTTGAAGCCCTATGTTCCCCTCGGGACGCAAAGGAATGAAAAACAAAATGAAAAAACAATCAAATCTAGGGTTCCTAGAGGTTTTGATTTGCTTTAAAGTACATCTTTCCACGAAAATAAAACAGTTATAGATTCACCGAAAAATAAGGAATACACGACAACAGTTTCATCCCAGTTTCGGGCTCATCATCAGTACGCACCTAGTATCTCAACACAGTTCAAACTCAGGACTTTCGAGCTACGAGATGAATCTATTCACATTTCAGTCCCTCGCTTACAATCCAATGAACCTTGAATTCGAGCTTCTATCAATCTGAGATATAGTGCCATCGATCAGTACCAGTTTCAAACTCGGTATACCGTACTCCACCAATCACATTTTTCGTTAGAACTCCCGGATACCCATCGTGAATTTATGAGTGCGCACTACTAATTGGCTACAAAATCTCTGAAAAACATCTGACCAGAGTTTCTTGGCTTTTATTGGTTCTCTAAGTGATGTCAGCTACTGAGAACATCCATGTGTTGGAATTAAGAAGTAATTAAAAGCCCTACTTTGTAACTCAAATAGATGGTATTAGATTGCTCTTTGAATGAGACGCATTTCAGTTAATCTCTTAATAAATAGTAGTATGTGCCATTGTGTGTTGATGCTTGTTTTTTTCTCCTTTTTTGATTGCCATTTATGGTACCAAACAGATCCCATTTTGTGATTTGATCAGTTTTGATTTCTAAAGGAAACTGTGTGGAAATTTTCACCATCTTGAACTGTGTAATTTGTAAACTGAGAATCGGATTATCAAACTTCACCTTGACGTTAGTCATTTAGTTAATCTTTATTGTTTATCATTTCGTGATTACACTTTCTAACTGTTAGCTTAAACAGCCGAATTTCAGCCTACGGGTCACGGGTTCGAATTCTAACCCACCTACTTCAGCCTGGGTGACTTGTTAGTTTTCATCAGCTCTCAACACAAAATGAGTGTGGCTGTAGTCTCTTGATATATACGTGTATATATGCATGTATATACGTGCGTACTGCCGACGATTCCCAAACTAGGCTGACGAAACAGCTCTCCAGTACTCCATGCTTGTTTTTCACTGGTTCTCTAACTGATATCAATCCGTGGTGAAACTCGAAAAACAAATCTAACCTTTACAAATCAACTCTTGAAAATTAATATGATGCTAGTTAGTGAATTGTTACAGGACGCAGTTTCCTAGGGTTCCAGTGAGAAGTCGTGACCAGTAAGGTTCAACCAGTCAAGTGTGAGGATGGATTTCCCACCAATGACACTGGTTGATAGTTGCGCTGAAAATCATGAATTGGTAGAAGTTAGAATTCATGGGCTGGTCATTAAAGAGTCGGGTCCTAGTAGCTGAATGGTATACGAGCCCGCTAGCCTGGTAACCAGAAGGTCCTGGCTTCGAACCCCAACAGTGGGTACGTACTGCCGATGATTCCCAAACTAGGATGAAACAGCTATCCAGTACTTGCTGGTTAACCAGTGGTTCTCTAACTGATATCAATTCGTGGCCAAACTCGAAAACTTGAATTTAAGATGCTCATTTCGTCCTATTCGGGACTCGTCATCTAGATCCACCTGCACTCCTAAGTGAGTGATGATGGAGACTCGAATCAAGTATCTATCGTTTGAAACGACACAGCATTATCCCCACTAGACGAGACCACGAGAGCCACGACATCCACCTCTTCGTGTGCAATAAGTATTAACAATTTTAAATTAATTTTGCAATCAACAGAAAATGTAAATCCAAACTTGTTTATTTAAAAAAAAGCAGGGAGGCAACTAATGCTGTGTTACTAAGAAACTTGGCTTATATTAAGATGAACGTATTTCTATGCATTTCTATGCATTGAATGACGCTCCTTAGAGTTTTGAACTCTTACACTCTTTCATGCCAATCAAATTAATACTAATTTTGTGCCCACATATATGTCTTTGTACGATAACTATATACACATATAGAAAAAAACACCTTTTACCATCTGTTTTCTTATATATATAACCTTATTTGACCTTTAGTAATAGTGTCAATCTTCAATCATATACAAAATTGTAATTAAATTAAAACAAAATTTATCTACAGCTTTGTGCAATTTTTTAATTGATGTCGACCATCAAATCAACACATCGATATGGGATTGATACTCGCTTAGTTTATTGGCCAGCTAAAAGGCGGGATAAGGCGCCAAAGCTGTCTACTGAAGACCAGATGGTCGTCCAGAAAGGGGGAAACAACAAGGAACTTCGTCAGCAAACCAGCCGACAACATAATGTCCAACAAATAGGTAGAAGGAAATAAAGATGGACTGCATATATATAGGTGACTATCAAGTGACCTCCCAAGCTAGGATCTCAAGTGGAATCCGAATTTGAGGTGAGGAGTTAGCCGTCCCAATGTAACATGGAGTGGATCATGTATATAACCACTTCGGCGAAGCGTCTAGTAGAAATCCTATGTGGTCTGAAGTTATTCGGCTCTCTGAGCTAACTCACACTGGACACACCGCTGATGAGCTTGGCCAGAAACGAGTGGAATGGCCTTCCAGTGTTTAGTTTGGAACTCTTCGACCTAGGTAGCTAGTAAGGACTAACAGCTGGTCTGAGTAGTATAGTACTACTCATTTCAGTCAATCAGTAGTATATAGCGTTAAAACCCAATGTATTTACACCAGATTTAATCGTTAAACAACAATTTCAACTCTGTTGTATATTAATTAGGCATAAAATATAAGTCGAAATAAATTATTTAGTTGGTGGCGGCTGGCAGTAGGATCCACGAGATGATGTTCCCAACTTAAAATGTGAACTCAGCACCTATCGTTTCAAATCTGAAAGTGTTATTCACCAGACCATCATCGAGTCAAGAGAATCACCTCTTATGCAACGGATATTAGTTGTTATTTTCAAGTATTAGCTTGCAAGGATATGATTAACTCCAAGTTTGATCACCAAATGGCTTCAACTAAAGGAGCACTGAAAACCAAAGAGATCTGGACAACTGTCGCTTTGTTGTTTGAGAGTACTAAACAACATACACCCATTAACTAACAGAAGGTCGAACCTAGGACCTTAAAGTTGGCCATTCAGTCGCTGGGATGGAATGTAGTGGCTATCCCATGAATTCTAACTTCTGACAATTTGCGATATATATCGCCACCGCCAGACAATGTCACCGGTGGCTATTCGTCCGAACACTCAACTTGTTGGACAACACTGGTCACGTTCTCTCATAAGAACTCCGGGTGACCTCCTTCCTATAGTCAGTCACTAGACAGAGTTAGATAAATTCTCAAGCGTCGGTTTGTAGGCATTTTACTGATTTGGAATTTGGCCACAGATACACGCTATTGAAGAGTCCCAAGCAAGGACGAAATAACTATCCAGTACTCCATACAAGCGATATCACTTCGTAATCCTCCTTGAATTTAATCAATTCTCTGCAAAGTGAAACTTTAAAACTAATGGATTGCTCACCAGCGGCAGACTATAGGATGAAGTGACGTGAAGTTCTAGTGAGAAGTCGTGACCAGTGGCGTCCACAAAAGTGGGTGGGAGGACAAATACTCTGCGATGATATTGACTTGCCGTCGCTGTAAGTGCCGTAAACTGGTAGATATTAGTTATTAATTGGTGAAATTATTACTTTCTTTTTCACACTGATTAATTTTTTCGGATTGAAGTCTTCAGTTCCCGTGGGCATTTCAATACGTGGGTGTCGACGATACCTCTTAAGGTTAACATGATGTTACTTAGTTTAATGACACTTAGGCGTTTGAAACAATGGCTGCTGAGTTAGAGGATGCTAGTACATCCACTCGATGAGTCTGAAATAGGACGAAACACACGTGCTGATTTCCATTGGTAGCTATCATCGACCTTAGGGCGTCATCAATGAATACATACTTGGGATCAATATGTCAACTGAGACTAGACATTACGATCAAATATAATAAACAATAAATTGGAAATTTATAGAGTCATAATTCACCTCTTCATTAAGAGCTATGATAATGCTGACGAGTGCCAACTAGCATGAAATCTAGGTCCAAGGCTTCCTGCCGATTGCCTCCAACCATCTAATGTTGATCATCAGTTAATTCAGCTGGAATAAATGAAGCACCTTCTTGAGCTCAACTATTCCACAGACAGTAGAGACAAGTATGGTCATTATTACTAAATCACAAATTTGGTACATTATATGGTAACCAAGAGAAGGCTGGGATACTATTCGGACGCGCAGACCGAAGCAGGTGGTAGTCTTATGGAGCTACGCTCCCTCTGCGCTTTTGACTTGAAGTCTGATCTACAAAACAGTACAGCAAAATCAGTGGCTGTATTCTCATGGATCCCAATGACCATAATAGATTCGTATACCATTCGATCTTTTCAGATTCAGGAGCCCATGTACACGACCATAGATTTGAAATCTGGGTTTTCTGGCTCCCTACTTCAGAGAAGACATTGACATATCGATTGACCGTTTTCCATGCAATGTATCCTTTGCCCAGCGCTGTGAATGTCAAAGTAAAGCAATTGAATGAAGTGCGGGAGTAGAATTGACTCACGGTGTGGGGGAGTCAAGGTGTCTACCGGGGAGCAACATTCTCTACACTCTTCACGATTACTTGTCAACCGAGGAATACTTTTCAATGCAGTTTTCTTTATTCGATAGATCTCATTGGTATTTCCATTTCTTCTCACCAGTCTTCTTGTAAGTGTAATACTTCTTCATTCAATCTCTCGCTTTTTGTAAACAGGAGTTACCTGGCAGAGGCTATGAACGCGTGGATACTTCAGACCAATTCCAGAGGAAAGCCAAAGTCTAACCACCCTCGACTTTAACACATCTTTTATGGTGAGGGTCTCCGAGATAACTTCTATTAGATCATTTTACAAAAACTGATGACCACAAAAAAATATTTTAAAAAATAAATAATTTATGCAAACTATCCTCGAACATACCTTTAGGTAATGGACATCGAAGGATACCTTCAGCACTAGCAACTGGTAACCGACTTCTTGGAAAACAACGACGTAACAGCATACATGTTTGTATTAATACAATTACTGGATCAGATAGTTTTTTACTATAATGCATTTCCTTCTGTTCCCCGGTGTCGATGCGCACGTCACCTTGCAGCAGTGTATTAGTAGTAGTAGTAGTAGTAGTAGTATTGCCAATATCTTTAGAATTAATACTACTAATTCTTTTCTCCACACTCTCAATATCATTCTCTTTAACTAGCCCCGTACTATTCTTATCGTCTAGATGAGTATCTTGTTGAACAGTGTTACTATTAGTAGGAACAGAACAAGATGTACTACGATTTCCTGGAACAATTGAATCAATCTTTTCTAAATTGTTATGTGTACGCTTTTGACGTGACTTATTATTTGTAAGTGTTGTTGCAGAATTATGCTGTTTACTAACACGTAGACTGACATTGCCATCCAACAATTCCTTACGTTTGAATTTTCCATAGGCACGTGAAGTCTTTTCATTGACTTGTTGTGGATGAATTTCTAACAGTAGATTATTATTACGTCCAAGTGGATCAGGTCCAACATAACCAACACAGACAGCGAATAAGGCATGCAGACCACCGGAGGCGATAACAGCTTTACGTCCAGAACCTTAAATAATCAGGGATAGAGAAAAAAACAATAAAATAGATTCATGGAAGCCATCTGTTTAGAATTAGTTCATAACTGCTAACGTATAGGCACTCAAGATAACGACCAACCAAATAACTTTGAATAGTTTCAGGATTTCCTCATGAACGCACATCGGTTAGAGGATCATTGGAAAACCTGAGAGTACTGGACAGCTGTTTCGTCAGCCTAGCTTGGAACTCTTCAGCATTACTCATCCACCCACCACCAGGGTTCAAACCCAGAACTTTGTGGTTACAAGGCGAGCTCGTAAACTATTAAGCCACTGGGACCCTGTGCAACCACAATGGTCCTCTGACCGATTTCACTTCATGATGAAATCCTGAAACCTATCAAATCCCTGCAAGCCAAAACTTGAATAGCTTTGCAGAAATATTCTTCTGTTAATCAAACAGACCGATGATGACCCAGTTCACTAGGGATGACTGACTGACTAACTGGTTTCAACATGGAACTTTGCACAGATGTGCAGCAGTTCAAGTTGCCACACTCCCTCCCTGTAGCAAACAAAGCAAGAGAAGAGGGTAAAGTGAGGTTTAAAAAAGAGGCAGATAATAAACAGAAGTGTGAGTGAGGGAAGGAAGAGAAGTCAGTAATATCGAAGAACAATAGAGTCTAGTTAGATATGGCAAATCGCAAAAAGTGAGTCCATTGGATTTTGAGCAATATCACCGATAACTGTCTCCACCCGTACCTGGTTCTCAGACTTCCGAGTACCCCAATCAGCCATTCAGGAAGTCTACACCTCCTTATGTGACTGACTGACTGACTGGCTGGCTTAAACTAACTGTTATGGATTTCATTGAGTAATGAAGCCATATTTTGGTTTGACCACCACTAGCTTTTTTCTAACCTTTCGATCCTATGTCAGCTAACATTGGCCGTCGAGAAAGGCAGTGGTTAGGCATGCTATTCCGATGGTCATAAACCGGCAGTTACATATCGCTTATTCATTTGACAACTGGGAATTACTTATGGTGACCACAGGTGAAGCAACGATCTGGTTAGCAGTTGGGCACCATAACTCAGCTGGTATAGACTACTGAGCTATTCACGCAACAGTTCCTGGTTCGAATCCTGCCCCAATTCAGATTTTTGTTATTTCCCCTTCAATGTATTACGAAATGATAATTTTTATAAGATGGATTAAATGTCGGGTGAGGAGAGAGAAGTCCGCTGCTTGTAAATAGCATGTTGTTATGTCAGCTTAGATGACACGTTGAAGTGGTGTGACTCCGGCACTCTTTATACATTGGTTGCATGCATTTGTTTCACAGTGAGCCCAAATAGCACAGTGGTAACGTCTCTGACTGTAGCGTCGGGTGACGCGGGTTCAGATCTCACCAGGGACACGAGTTCCTTCAAGGTAGTAGGTACGCCTTGCTGACTGGTGATTGCCAACTAGCACGAAACCTATGTCTAGATAGGGCCTCCTGCCGATTGCCTCCAACCACCTAACAGTTGTTTAAGTGTCTACCACAAACATTGATTTGTGCGTCGGTGGTACAGGGGTAGAATGCTCGTTAACGACACCACACGTGCTTTGAGGTTCGATCCCTTTACCCCGCTAAGCCAGTAATAAGACTGGTAAAGAGAGAAGGTTGGGCATGAGGCTAGTAACCCCATCCTGTAAACTTCAAGCCTCCAGCCTGAAGACCTATGTTCCACTGGGAACGTAAAGGAATAAAATAAAGGTTTCACAGCTGAACTTTGTGTTGAAATATTGCTACTATAAGAAGAAAGGAATAACTGGACGGTGATATTTTCTACTAAAATGGTTGTGTGTATTTTTTCTTTATGACAGCTATTCTTCTTTCCGACATGGATTTATTTCACAGTTTTTCAACCTGAAGCACTGGTCATTTTCAGTTGGAAAAGTTGAACTTTCGTTCAACGAACTGAAATTTTTGATTAGCGCGAAAGTGACTACCTGAAATAAGACTTAGTTAGTTATCAAACATCATTGAATCCAACTAGACAATATCATTAAATAATATTCTAACGATTACGTGAATGAATATATATACCTTATGATTTATTAAGGCGGGAAAATATCAGAAGTACAAAAAACAGGCCTACCTTGTACTTGAAAATTTTTTCACACAACATTAGGTTAAAATATGTAATGGCTTATTTTGATTGGCTGATTAAATAATGAAATTGTCCAATCAGATTATTCGATTCACAAAGTAACAGAAGTTTTTCATTTATTTATCACCTAATGTCTTCAATAGTTAATGTCTGTTTTAACAAAATATCTTATCAACTTTCCTAAAACTATTATTCTTTGTAACTTCAAAACTTATTTTATCCTTTCTGCTATTATTTTTTTTTACTTCTAGCGATTGCGTCATCAATTTTTCAATGTCTTGAACATTAATCATAACTAAGCTTTATTTAAGATTATATTTTTTTAAACTATTCCCACAGCTTCGCTGCATGGTGATTGTGATATACATATGGTAGTTTTAAAGTTTATAAGTAAGAGATAAGTGAAAACCAGGGAGTAGTGGACACAGCTGTTTTGTCCATCCTAGTTTGCAACTTTTCAGGGCTCGAACTTGGGACCTTTAGGTTACAAAACCAAGTTTGTTTAACCTCTCAGTCACGTATGTGGGAGTCCATTGACCCATGAATTCTAACTTCTTTCGATACAGTGATATAGTTCTACATTTAAATAATGCCTTGGATGAGCATCCACCTCACGCTGACATCCTGGACTACACCGATTACCATTTCTCAGTATACCTTCAGGACATCCATCCAGTACACAGCCATGTTACCTGGAGATTGATATTTAGGTTATGCGATTTTCAAGGGATTCGTCATGAATCAACATAACAGGTAATTGAAATCTGGTCCATGTGGCTGAATGGTCAATTAACTTGGTCTTATAAGCTAAAGGTCCGGGGTTGGATCCCTAGTCGAGGGTTCGTGGGTATGCAGTGCTGAAAAGCCCCAAACTAGAATGAAACAGCTGTCCAGTGCTCCTCGTTTTTCAGTGATTTATGACTGACACTGGTTCCTGATGACGTCTACATTTGAATGAATCCAAATCCCTACAAACTCAAATAATCTAAATTTAGAATAAGTTGCTGAAAAAGGGTAACTCTTTGTTGAATGTCTTTTCTTGTATAAATAAAACCTTAGAGATGTTTAAAATAATTCATTCACCGATGTCAACAAGCATGAGACAAATGATGTGAAGATTATAATGAGAAGAAAAAGGCTTCATTTTTTATGTCCATGAGTCACCTTTTCATAGGCAAATCGCAGTGTGGTGTGCACGCTACTAAAATGAATTTATAAGTAGTATATTGTGTCATGTTGTTCCCTTCTGTAAGAATCTTCAATGGTAGAGACATAGATTAAGTTGGAGAAAAAGAGGAATGAGGAAAATTGCGGATCAACCAAAGAAATAAAGCATGAAATGAAGCCAAAAAGAAACAGAACATAAACAATTAATCCCACGGTTTATAAGTAGGACAAAAGGTTTCAGCAGCAAATCTCTATGAAATAATGGAGAAGATTTGTAGCTCCAGTGGATGATTTTATTGAATCAGTTGTGTCCTCTGAGCTGCTGACTACGATTTCACTGGAGAGTTGCCGTCGTCCTGCATCTAGACAACATCGCTTCAGTGAAGGTTTAAATATAGAATAAATTTCTTTGACTTCTCCTTGAATGATGATATAATTGTATCTCCATACTGATAACCATTGTCGTCTCTATTGGTCATTTTTATTGACTGACTTGGAATTCGGACTTCTTGTTATGTGATGACTTACTTTTTATTTTTTAATTTGATTTTTTATTCCTTTACGTTCTCAGTGGTGCACAGGGCACTTTCAAGCTACAGCTTTGAATTTTCTGTAGTAGTGGTGTTAATTTTTACGGGGTAGGGTTGCTAACCTCATGCCCAACCTTCACTCTTTACCAGTCTTATTACTGGCTTAGCGAGGTAAAGCAGTGCGTCGGCCGGGGATCGAACCTTGGACTACATGGGTGGTTGTCAACCATTCTACTGTTGTGCCACCGACGCTTCATAATCGCCGGCTGATTCACTTGAGTAGCAGGCTTCTAGAAATTCCTTGGCAGTATTTTCGGTGTTTCTTCTATTTGAAATTTCTACATTATCCCAATCAAATTGCCGTCCGTAATTATCTATATGCACCGATATGAAACAGGAATACATATCATGCATTTTCACAGCTTATTTGTGTTCTTGGATTCGGATAGAAGGGTAAAATCCAATTTGTTGACCGTTGTAATGTTTATTGCAGTTCATACATGCACTTTATTTTGTAAATGGTAGTAATTTTACCTTCTTTTCCTGTTGGATCTTTCGGTTTGCACATTGTTCGAATGAAGTGATTGTGCTGCCTTGATGGCTTGTGTGCTGTATCTATTTCAAACAGCTTTAATATTCCAGCTGTTATTTCAGAGATATTTTCTATATATGGTAGAATGAATTTTCTTGTGATCTTTGACAGTGGTTTCTCGTTGGTGTTATGATTCGAGTTTAAATACTTTTTAATGAAATTGTGAGGGTATCCACTCTTTTTGAAGACGGTCGATTGGTAGGTATTTTTCCCCAATTCTCTTCAACACCGGAGTAGTGCTACAGTACGTTTGAATTCTTTTAAACAATGTCTGCACACAGTTTCTTTTGTGAGTAATTGGGGTTATTGCTAGTATAGTTGAGTATTTGATTTGTGTGCGCTGATTTTCTAAATTTTCTGTGTTATTTCCCTTGATTAAGACATCTAAGAATGGAATTTTGCTGTCTAATTCTTCTCGTCTTGTGAATTTGATGTCTTTAAATGTGTTGTTTATTAATTTGTGGGTATATTCCAAATCATTCCAAATCATTCACATCCTACTCGAGCGGTGGCCTGCATTGTGTGCGATGTCACTCGAAAGCGTCCTCAGCGCCCTGCCCAATCCACCTCCACTTTCTTCTGCATATTTGCTGAGCAATCGGCTCTCGCCTGTTGGTTTGTTGCCAGAATTTCTTCCTGCTAATTCTTTCTGGCCATTTGATCTTCAGTATGGAGCGAAGGCAACTATTGGCGAAAGTCTGTAACTTGTTGGAAATCCTTTTCGTGACAACCCAAGCTTTGGACCTAAATAGAAGAGGGGACTGACTTCACATTTGCGTTGAACATAATCCAAATCTTGTTGTTCATGTTGTCTGGCTGATTTCCGATGAAACTGTTTTGTTCTCCGTTATTACTATTCGTTTGTCTCACACCTCTGTTTACTGTCTATATTATGCATTTCTCCTACTTTCTTCTCTTGCTTTGTGTGCTACATGGAGTGTGGCGACTTGAACTGCCTCACATATGTGCAAAGTTCTATGTCGAAAACAGACAGACAGAGTACAGACGACTTCCAAACCGGTTAGCTGGCTAGTTTTCTAGTCTGTTGCAAGCCCGGTAAAGGACCAGCAAACCCATAAAACCAGTCAAATAGCTCTAATTATGTTCTGGAAAGTCTAGAGGGATGGCATAAATAGAGATTATCACGCAATAGGTGCGAAAAATCGCCTAATCACAGTTCAAATGTGAGCAGAATGAAAAAAAGCTAGTGAAGACAAAACCTGTATCCAAATGAGGATAAACGTAATCCCAATAATGTTTTCGCCCATAATATAGCAAACATCACAACAGACCTATCCCAGCTGTATAAAATAAAAAAGACAGATAAATATACGTCTTTAAAACAGCTGAAAAGACGCAACATCCGATGTTAATAATTACAGTGTTCTTCTAAGCATTTATAACAAAATCATATAAGACTAGGTACTATTTGAGGACATTCAAATCGTAATTAACCGCCTCCCTTGTAGGCATTGAAGGAGGTGGGGTCTAAAATGAGGCATATTTGTTTCACTATAAATCATGTCTACTCACCCTATTATTAAATAGTAATAATAAAATATCTATAGGTAAAGAAAGACTAAATTTGCCGTGTAAACTGATGTCATCATTCTATTTCACAGGTTCTCATCAGATGAAAACTACTTGAAATTACAATGGTTATAATTAATAACATTTCATAATTCAATGTTTGAAAGGTAATAGAGAAAACATTATAAGATGAACGCATTCAGAATAGAAGCATAACAATTTTTTAGTTTAAGTTACCATCAATTTATATACTATCAAAATATGAAAATAGGGCAGCGGGTGAGAGAAGACAAAAAGCAGAAAAATTGAATAAACAGTGTTAGCTTGTAAGTCAACATAGCAACTCAAGAAGGTTAAAGTTCATCAAACTGAAAACTTGCTCAGTGAGCTGTGTATGACTAATCAGTGTAATCAAACAATACGGCTACCAAGGTAGTGAGAGAGGCTAAAGTGGACGTCGCCTCCGTGTTCGTGTTCATGATCACGAACTAGCCGTCCAAAGACATTATATCCACTACCCCCTCAAAGTACTCACTGCATACAGACAAACATAGATATCAATTCGACTAGGACAACGTTCAAATATTAGACAGAGGAAACACCAAGAATGTTAGAGAATTTTTAGAAACTTGGTATTCCAGTGAATCGGAAATAAATAGACACACTGACATAGACAAAATTTACCAGCTGATAAGAAGAAAATCTCACACACAAGGGGGTCAAACTTCAAGGCAAGGAAACAATCAGCACCAATACCAATACAAGTAGCCTAGACGGTGTGAAAACACACAAAAGCAACCAATCACAACGTTCAAGGGCACCCACCAGGAGAGATGATTAATAAACTCGTGGGTAAATCTAAGAGCTCACATCATCAAAATGAAGTGTGCGCTGAAGATGTTGCCTAGTGCGGGGGGCAATGAAATCTCCGCAAATAAACTATTCAGCTCAGAGAACACAACTACATCAAAATCATCCACCTGAGCTAAAAATCTTCACCACATAACAAAGTTTACATAATGCATAATTCAACCTTCTATCACTCAGGCTTTGACGTTGTAAATCAACAATTATTCCTCCAAATAGGTGAGAGAATTCGAATATATATATATGAATATAAAAGACAATTATTTACAAAATCAAAAAATTACGTAGTACTGTTAAACATCGAAGACATGCCAATAAACTTTTCTGTAGTTCGATTCGGCGCCAATTTAAATCACATCGATGTACATCGAGAAATAGATCTAGTAGTAGTGAAACAGCTCCATTATTGATAGCACGTCCAGCATTATGTCCTAAGGAGGAACAAAAATACATTTTTTAAGTAAAGTAAAGATAATGACTGATAATAAGTAAGTGAGAGAAGCAAAACATACATGATGCGATTTATTATGTAAGCAAAGATAATGTTAATTTCAATAAAGCAAGAATGACTGAATTTACGTTGTTGAATGATATCACCATTTCACTTCAACCCTTACTCCTACAATTCCTTAACTCTCGCATTCTGCCTATAATTCTCTATTGCTCCCCCTTAGTTTTTCCCGGGCTACTGAAGAAAGACTATACCTTATTACGCAGGATGTTAAAGGTTGTCAGAAGGGTAAGCAACGTGCCACTTAACCAAATTGTTAATATTCTGGTCGACAGGCACTTGGACTCATGTGAAAAATGGGCTAAATCCATTCTGTCTAACTCACACCACCCTCTTCATTCACAACTCTCCCCTTGCATCTCATCAGGCAAAGAAAGCATTAGGCGTGATACCTGTAACTTATTAAATAGTCAGTAGAACAACTGGATCTCATCTTTCCAACTCATATCATTTATAGGTACAACATTTTCTTTCTTTCTTTTCCTTTTCTCTCTCTTTTTTTTCTGTTATGTGCTGCTTTGTTTCTTACTTCCGCTTACGCCAGTAAATATGATAGCACCTACTTTTCTAACACCTTCAAACACTGTTCAACTTTGGCTTTGCTACCGACATGCCAATATGTTGTTGTCATAATGAACTGAGATTTCCTTAATCTATGTAGAATTCTATTTATTGATAATGTACTAACTGGATGCAATACTGTAGTAAAAATGCTGAGAATTCCATTCTGTATCACAAGGACTGTTTTGGAATAAAGCAAATTATTATTATTATTAAACCGACTAACTGACTGGTTTCAATATAGAAGTTTACATAGGTTTGCAGAAGTTAGAGTTGCCACACTCACTCCATGTACCACACAAAGCAAGAGGAGAGTACGTGAAGGGTAGTCCAAAAGACAGATAATAAACAGAAGTGTGACTGAGGGAGAGACAGAAGTTAGTAATACCGAAGAACAATAGAGTTTTATTGGATATGACAAATCACAAAGAGTGAATGCATATATGCTAGCAATGGACAACGATTTTCAGCCATACCATCAACTGTCTCCACCCGTTATTGGTTCTTACCATCCTGACGAACCAGACTAGTTAGGAAGTTATGGATTTCATTGACTGATGAAGTCATGTTTACGTCTGACCACCAACCACTAGCTCTTTTGCATCACCCTGATTAATCCTTTGTCGGCGGCTTACATTGGCCATTTTCGAGGAAAACGATCGATGGCTAGGCAAGGCATGCGTAGCACATGTCATAACCATCTTTCTCAATCGATTTAACTTTACAACCTCGTAGACTGATTTTCCCTGCCCCCCCACCTACCTAGCACTCAACCAATGTCCAACCTCAGTATTATTTTTTTTATTTATTTTGATTTACAGCTTGATTCCACACCGTATTTTCAGTACAAGTATGGAATTTTCAGCATGGATATCGGTTGCCCAAATTCAGGCATACCATAGATATCGGGTGTGCGCCGGCAGGGGATCGAACCCCGGACCATGTGCATGGTCGGCGAGAGTCCTAACCACTGCGCCACCACTGCCGATTACTACTGTGGTGGTGTGATACAAACAGTGGGTTCCAACGGAATATTATTCTCACAGTAAGGATTATTGTATTTGTTGGTGTTAACGTCTGAACACTATTCGCACAGTTTAATAGGACATTAGCAACAGAATGCTGTATATGTATATTTGAACATGCTATTTCATGTCGTTTAATGTAAACCAAAATCACACGCTCAGTGATTGGTTAACGAATACAAACTGTATAGATATATAAATAGCTGTTTGATCACTTGAAATACACCTTGGTTTTCGTGTCTTGCCCTCTGATGTTACACTACTATTATTTTCAAGAGAGACATATTATAGTAAGTACGCTATTATAAACTTGTAGTACACTTTTAAATCTCTGATCTTCACCAAAAACTCAAAAATTACTTTTCAAACTTTTTTATTTACGATAGGGACATTATCATCTTCAAGCTCTTAGATACGCTATGCTGGTGACTACCACCAGGAAGCATGGAACCTAGGGAGTTTAGGGATTCATGCAGGAATTCCTGACATAATTCAGTCTGCATCAGCAACAAGGACAACAACTAGACACGCATGACATTAGTTGCTGTCCGATCACTGTATTCTTTACAGTCCTACCTATATGAGCCTGAAGAACTGAATGAAGCAGATTCGAACCTCAGAGTGGACACGAGCTCCTTTATGACTGTAGATACTTCTTGATGACGAGTACCCACAAACCCACAAGCACGAAATCCAAGGTTAAAGGTTTCTTGGCCATTGCCTCCAACTATCTAACACAATCATCTTCAAAAGACAAAAATTGCAGATCAGCAAAAGACTGTGCTTATAGAACGTAAGCAAACTAGTCCAGCTTATATTCACCTATACCCCTTGAAAGTAGATGAGATAATTCTGTAGAGATGCACCCCACTGGCTTAAGCACTCGACTTGCAGTGAATCACTTCCAGGTTCTCTGTGCTTGCTCCACGAACATGAACACCTTCACACAATAAGTGTGGTTCACAGCCAAATGATTGGGGAGTTCAGTCGGATATAAACTGAGGAGACACGTTGAGTGACATCACGATCCAGCCACTGAAGTAAAACCTGAATGAAAAACGAGTTGACCGTGTCTCGGAGGGTGACATGCAGGAAATGAGAGTTTATGCGAAATCGTGGCGCTAATTATAAAGGACCTAAGAGAACAGAATGAAATGGAGATGCTCTGCTGAAGCTGTATATATTCCACTAAGAGCCCAAGGGAACAACTAAATGAAATAATAGCCCGGCAGTACTGGATAACTGACTGACCTCTAATCAACCATTAGTTAGTTCCACAACCAAATAGGAAAAAAGACAAAGCAAGCAGATAACCACACACACACACACAAAAGTTCTTCAAATAAATTTCTTCTAACGATAGATAGCATAACGTACCAAGTCAGATAAGTCACTGTAACTATTTCTCTGATTCAAAAAAAAATAGTATAAACATCGAAAGGAATAACTATAAAAAACTAATTAAGGAAACGAAGAACGTTTAACACATGAAAACGACATCTTTTGATATACATTAGAAGGCAGATATATATACATACATAATTGAATTTGAGATTTTCCCGCCGACATGTCAACCTGATACTGAGCACTTCGGTCCAATCAATCGACGGGAAAATCTAAAAATCAATTGAATAATTAATATGACGCGTTGCACAAGAGGTGGCTGTCGTGGCCCAAGTGGTCTAGTGGATAACGCTTTGGCGTTTGAAACTAAGAGCATTGGGTTCGAGCCTCGGTAGGAACATCATCACTCACTGGGAAATGCACGTACATCCAGCTGACGAGTCCGAAATAAGACGAAACGCGCATCCTGGATTCCACTGTTAGTCACCATCCACAAATTAAATACATACATAATGCCTATAAAAGCTGAATGTGAGTCCTACTAGAAACGACTTCAGCATTTCGCAATTAATATAGATAACATCATTTTGTTGTGCAGAACACAGGAAGAAATGTAATTTACCAAAGGAAGAGACCTCTTATCAGTCGCACTATTGTACTACGCACTATTGTACCACGCCACTTAAGATGGGAGATAGGATGCAGATACCTATGATCAAAGACAGCTAGCTAGCCTGTCTTTTCATGTCTTCCACTCCCAATGACCATGTCTCGCTCACAGCCATAAAGGTGGAGGAGTGAGCGAACTGTTGGGCAGCACACATATCCTTTGTTCAACAGCCATCTGGATATCACGTCTACTAAGCTATAGATGGCGTAAGTTGGGAAACACCACAAGAGCCTTCTGTATGCGTGCTGAGATTTCGTCAGAGATCAACTTGTTGGTACTGATGCAACTTATTTGAGAAGTAGCATCAACCCTAACAGCTAATGTTAGGCACTTCACATTAAGCAGTAATTAATCAGAATTTTCTTATGCATGGTTATATAAGTACTATTTTGAAATACATAAAGTCCATTTTATATCCCACATTATGTTAACCATTATGATGTATCACGTGATGGTACGCTTTTAATCTAATTTATATCCAATATGTGGCAAAGTTAAACTTTACGCACCAGTAAGTACCAATGGACAAATGACCTTGAACGCACCAATCACATGACAAAGACTATTTTTGTGCATAAAATACATATATATAGATATTTATAAAAATAATGAAGAATTTAAAAGGCATGAAACTGTTTGTTGCACAGGGTACACTTTTCCCTGACGTGTGGTAAGAAATACCTCCCAGGTTTCGACTGGAGTATCAATAGACTAATTTAATTACATTCTATGCATGTAATCATCTAGGTCTCCTAAACTTAACAATAGGCCTAATGCTTCCCTAAACTAACTCTAACGTGAAGATATCCCCAAATTAACCCTAATGTAACTAGAACCTACCCTTTTGTCGCCCCCATAAGGTTATAACCTTACCCTAACCTGTCCTTACGCCTTAAACCCTAACTCCATCTTTCCCGAACCTAGCCAGAAACTTGCCAAATATCCCATCTAATAATATAACACTTCATTGATTGACTGATTGGTGACGAAATCTCAGCACAGATCCAAAAAGCTCGGGCTTCTTTCGCTAACTTACATCATCTCTGGCGTAGGCGTGACATCCGGCTATCAACCAAGGGACGTGTGTACTGCTCAGCAGTTCGCTCCGTCCTTCTCTATCGCTCTGAAACATGGCCAATACGAGTTGAAGACATGAAAAGGTTGACTGTTTTTGATCATAGATGGCTACGATCTCTTTCTCACGTTAGGTGTCATAATAAGGTAAGTAATGTTGCAGTTAGGCGTAGTGTTGGGCATAGAGGGAAAATCACTCGAAGAGGCTATAAAGTTACATAGATTGAGATGGCTGGGTCACATGCT